TCTTGCCCTAGCCCAGTGGTTGGCAAACTCATTAGTCAACAGAGACAAATATCAACAGTACAACAATTGAAATTTCTTTTGAGAGCCAAATTTTTTAAACTTAAACTATATAGGTAGGTACATTGTTATTAACTTAATTAGGGTACTCCTAAGGCTTAGGAAGAGCCACACTCAAGGGGCCAAAGAGCCACATGTGGCTCACGAGCCGCAGTTTGCCGACCACGGCCCTAGCCGGTTTGGCTCAGTAGATAGAGCATCAGCCTGCAGACTGAAGGGTCCCAGGTTCGATTCTAGTCAAGGGCATGTACCTTGGTTGTGGGCACATCCCCAGTAGGGGGTGTGCAGGAGGCAGCTGATCGATGTTTCTCTCTCATCGGTGTTTCTAACTCTCTATCCATTTCCCCTAAGAACAGGAATAAGACAGGGATGCCCAAGGAGAAACCAAGATGGCGGCTAAGGTAAACACCAGAAATTGCTGCCTAGCACAACCATTTCAAAACTACAACTAAAAGACAAAACAGACATCATCCAGAACCACAGGAAGGCTGGCTGAGTGGAAATTCTACAACTAGAAGGAAAGAGAAAAGCACACTGAGACTCAGAAGAGGTGCGGAAGTAAAGTGCAGAGGTACAGAGGCGCGCGCGCTCAGAAAGGGCTGGCAACCGAGGACGTGGGTGTCTTTTTCAATCGGGAGGGAGTCACAAGCTGCCGACTGCTCTGAACACCAGTTCCGGGTGAGACTCTGGGGACCCAGACCCATAGGGGGAGAAACTGGACTGTCTGGCAGCGGGCAGAACTCAAGGCTGGCTTTCTCTCAGAGGTGCTTACAGTGATTACTGATTACCGTGGGACACTGAGACCAGACACTGAGACCCGGGGGCCTCTTAGGGCAGGGCTGAGGATCAGCCATAACTGTTTGCTCTGCCCTGTTGATTCCCTGAGACTCTGCCCCACCCAAGCTGCTAGCAGAGGCTTTTGCATATGAATGGGCTGACCCTTTGCAATCTAAAATTACCTAACAAACTGCAGCTGGGTCAGAGAAACCCAGAACATCCAAAAGAAGGCCCAAGGCCCCACAGCAGCTTGCATTGCTTCACAGATGGGCCTCATCTGGGCACCTCCAAACCCCAAACAAGGAAGAGGAATCTGCAGATTTCTCCTTAGCTCCTGCTGGGTAGCCTCAGGCAGATGCTAAATTAGCACCTCCTTAGAGATCCAAGAGCCCGTGTACCCAGTGGTCAGATTGGGACCATCCAGATTACAACTCCTCAGATCCATAAAGGACACACTCAGGGGGCAGACTCAGTGAGCACCAAAGCCCCGCTGAAGCAAGTCTTGCCCCATAAGGGAGTCTTCAGCACAGAAGTTCTCCCACTGTAGACACAGCTGATTCTCAATTCCTCCCAGTGATACCTACAACAATCAAGGCTTAACTACAAAAGACTGTGCACACAGCCCACAAAGGGGTGCACCAAGAGTGTCCACCTCAGGTAATTGGGGAGGCTGAGCCACTGGACCCTATAGGACACCTAACACAGAAAGCCACTCTATCAACACAGGGAAGCATAAAAAATGCGGAGACAAAGAAACAGGTCACAAATGACAGAAATGGAGGAAAGCAAACTACTGGATATAGAGTTCAAAACCACACTTTTAAGGTTTTTCAAGAATTCTCTAGAAACCGCCGATAAACTTAATGAGACCCTCGAGGATATGAAAAAGGACCAAAGCTATCATTCAGAATTGAAGGTCAGATAAAGAGCTTCACGGATAAGAAAAAGCTAAAGGAGTTCATCACCACCAAACCAGTATTAAATGAAATGCTGAAAGGTATCCTTTAAGAAGAAGAAGAAAAAGTTAAAGATAAAAATTAGGAACAACAAATACATATCTATCAACAAGTGAATCTAAAAATCAAGTGAATAAAAAATCTGATGAACAGAGTAAACTGGTGAATATAATAGAATCAGGGGTATAGAAAGGGAGTGGACTGACAATTCTCGGGGGGGGGGGGAAGGGTGTGGGGGTTCGGGAAGAGACTGGACAAAAATCATACACCTATGGATGAGGACAGTGGGGGGGTAAGGGAAGAGGGTGGGGTGGGAACTGGTTGGAGCGGAGCTATAGGGGGAAAAAAGAGGAACAACTGTAATAATCTGAATAATAAATATTAAAAAAAAAAGACAGGGATGCCCACTCTCACCACTCTTGTTCGACATAGTACTGGAAGTACTAGCCATTATGACCAGACAAGAAAAAGAAATAAAAGGCATCCAAATTGGAAAAGAAGAAGGAAAACTCTCTTTTTTTGCAGATGACATGATACTGTACATAGAAAACCCTAAAGACTCCATCAAAAAATTATTAGACTTAATAAATGAATTTGGCAATGTAGCAGGATACAAAATTAACACCAAGAAATCTATGGCATTTCTATGCACCAATAATGAACCTACAGAAAGAGAGACTAAAAAAGCAATCCCATTTACCATCGCACCAAAAAAAATAAGATACCTAGGAATAAACTTGACTAAGGAGGTAAAAGACCTATACGTAGAAAACTACAGGACACTGAAAAAGGAGATAGAGAAAGACATAAAGAGATGGAAGAACATTCGGTGTTCATGGATTGTAAAATAAACATCATCAAGATGTCCATACTACCCAAAGCAATCTATAGATTCAATGAACTCCCCATTAAATTACCAATGGCATATTTCACAGACCTAGAAGAAACTTTTCAAAAATTCATCGGGAATTAAAAAAGACCCTGAATAGCTGCAGCAATCCTGAGAAAGAAGAACAAAGCAGGTGGGTTCTCAATACCAGATATCAAGCTGTATTACAAAGCCACTGTTCTCAAAACAGCCTGGTACTACACAAGGACAGACATATAGATCAATGGAATAGAATAGAGAACCCAGAAATGGACCCAAACCACTATGCTCAATTAATATTTGACAAAGGAGGCATGAACATACAATGGAGTCAAGACAGCCTCTTCAATAAATGGTGTTGGGAAATTTGGACAGATACATGCAAAAAAATGAAACTAGACCACCACCTTACACCATACACAAAAACAAACTCAAAATGGATAAAGGACTTAAACATAAGATGGGAAACCATAAAAATACTAGAGGAATCCACAGGCTGCAAAATCTCAGACATATGTCGAAGCAGTCTCTTCACTGATACTGCTCCTAGGACAGGGGTGGGCAAACTTTTTGACTCGAGGGCCACAATGGGTTCTTAAACTGGACCAGAGGGCCGGAACAAAAGCATGGATGGAGTGTTTGTGTGAACTAATATAAATTCAAAGTAAACATCATTACATAAAAGGGTACGGTCTTTTTTTTTTAGTTTTATTCATTTCAAAAGGGCCGAATCCGGCCCGCGGGCCGTAGTTTGCCCACGGCTGTCCTAGGGCAATGGAAACTAAAGAGAAAATAAACAAATGACTACATCAAAATAAAAAGCTTCTGCTCAGCAAAGGAAACCATCAACAAAATAACAAGAAACCCACTGCATGGGAGAACATATTTGCAAATGTTATCACCGATAAGGCTTTAATCTCCAACATTTACAGGGAACTCATACAACTTAACAAAAGGAAGATAAACAACCCAATCAAAAAATGGGTAATGGACCTAAATAGATACTTATTGAAAGAAGACAGAAGAAAGGCCAAAAGACATATGAAAACATGTTCAAAGTCAGTAATCATCTGAGAGATGCAAATCAAAACGATAATGCGGTATCATCTCACACCTGTCAGAATGGCTATCATCAACAAATCAAAAAACGACAAGTGCTGGAGAGGATGTGGAGAAAAAGGAACCCTAGTGCACTGCTGGTGGTAATGCAGACTGGTGCAGCCACTGTGGAGAACAGTATGGAGTTTCCTCAAAAAACTAAAAATGGAACTCCATTTGACCCAGTGATCCCACTTCTAGGAATATATCCCAAGGAACTAGAAACACCAATTAGAATGGATATATGCACCTCTATGTTCATAGCAGCACAATTCACCATAGCTAAGATTTGGAAACAGCCTGAGTGCCCATCAGCAGATGAGGGATTAAAAAACGATGGTACATCAATGGAATACTATGCTGCGATAAAAAAGAAGGAGTTCTTACCATTTGCAACAGCATGGATGGAACTGGAGAGCATTATGCTGAGTGAAATAAGCCAGTCAGTGAAAGATGAATATCACATGATCTCACTCATTTATGGAATATAATGAACAACATAAACTGATGAACAAAAACAGATCCAGAGACAGAATAGCATTGATCAGACCGTCAAACCTCAGAGGGAAGGTAGGGGAGGTTGGGAGTAAGTGGAAGATCATCCAAAGGACTTATATGCAAGCATATAGGCCTAACCAATGGACACAGACAACATGGGGGTGAGGGCATGAGTGGGGGGGATGGGGGGTAATGTGGGGATAAGGACACATATGGAATAACTTAATCAATAAAAAAATTTAAAAAAAAGAGAACGTGGTATTTCCTTCTCTTTGCTCAGAGCTCAAACTAATGCAGGTCACCTACCACTCAATGTGAAATAGCTATAGGGTAGTAGAGGGTACTTCATGTATGAGAAATGGATGCATCTACTGGCCCTGTGCTCCATGGATAAAGCAAAGACATCTAAAATAAAAATACTCTCTTCCACTCCCTATTCTGAATCATGTGGTGGTGTCTCTTTAATAACCCACTTGCAGTTATTTTTCTGTCTAAAGGGTACTATTTGTCTGAGAGGTTAGTTTGTATAGCAAGCATGTCAAACTCAAAGGCTAACATGAGCCAAATAAACAAGGTTTAAGTTTATGTGGGCCGCAAAAAAGCAAAAGCTTCAATTTTCATAGAAACATAGGTTTATTTCGATAGAGACATGCTGAATACAAAGGGCTGAAATAAATGAGTCATCATTAACATAAAATAATAGAAAATTTTAATAAAATTAATATATATATATTTTTTAATGGTATCAGCATCTCATAGAGGACCCAGTCCCCCTTTATTTCTTCTTCTTATCGCCCCAGCAGTGGCGGCCTGCCTTCCTCCCACCTCCATTCTCTCTTCTGCTCTGCCAGCTGGGCATAGGAGCCTCCAACTCATTTGGACGGCCCCCTCGGTCTGGCACATTGCCCATAAGCACCTTGTTGATGGCACAGCTGGTCCCTCGGCGGGCAGCCTTGCTCATGGCTGGGACAAGACGAGACAGATCAGCTCGGGCAGCCAGGATGTGTGCAATGGAGACATCCGATTCTGGGGTCATAGTGTCTCGAATTGGGAACAGCACTGCCTTCATGGCCTCCCCTTGGGGCTCTGCCCGATCACTCCAGTGGAATGCAGATATCGTGAGGTCCAGGTGCTTTAGGAGGAGGCTATGGCGGCAGCAGTACTGATCGCCCAGGCTTTGGCACAAGGACTCCAATGCTTCCCACCTGGGTGCGTCTAGTGGGTAGCTTAGAAGGAGCTGCAGGGATCCTGAGGGCAGGGAAGGCAGCAGCTCTGAGAAGCAGAAGGCGCAGGCCAGCGCCCGGCCTCCGCAGCGCGGTCGCGCAGACTCCGCTGCAGAGCTCACAGTCAGGGCAGTGCAGCTCCTCCAGCAGGCGGGGCAGCAGTCGCAGGAATTCCTCCGCGCGGGGTCTATCGCCCGGCACTCAGTGCCTCCGCGCCCTCCTCTCACTCCCGCTCCAAGGCGCCCAGAGTCACCAGCTCAGCCTCCAGCCGCCAGCCGCCAGCCGCCAGCCGCCAGCCAGGGGCACAGCGCCCTGAAGTCTGGGCACGAGGGGCTCAGCGCTGCCGCCCCTAGGAAGTTCTCATACCCCAGGGCCTGCAGGGCCTGTGCTACAGCGGCCCCCTCCCGTGCCTCCGCCTCTGCCCCCTCCCAAAATTAATATATTTTTCATGAACATTAACTTATTAGACACTGAATAACTGCACAAATTAATAACCATAACGCAAATAAACCAATTTTCCTTGTTCTCCGAAAGCGAAAAATTTCCTGTTGTGCATGCCAAGCAAGTCAGTACAAGACGAATGACGTGGCCATAGGCTGCTAAAATATTCACTGCTAGTATTAGTTGAGAGAAATGGTGTGCCTGTGGGTAAGGTGTGTAAGGGAAATGAATGCAACAGGATTATAGTAATCAGTCATTAGCGAACGTTGTAGTTCATTGTTAATAATTATGTATAACAAATATTGTAAAAATTAAGTTATAAAATTTTTATTAAAACATTTCTTACATACTGTTATATTGGCTGGGCCTCAAAAATATTAGTTGTGGGCCTCATGTGGCCTGCGAGCCAGGAGTTTGACATGCTTGTTTTATAGGTTTAATAGAGGGATTAAGCACCTAGCCTGGACTCTAAAGTAACACAGACTCAGTTTGTATCCCAGGCTCCTTCACTTACTAGCTGTATTGCTTGATAGAGTTACTTTAAATTTTAATTTTCCCAACTTTAATATGGGTATACTAATACCTACATCGCATGTTTATTGTGAGCCTTAAATAAGAGGACTGTTTAGTGGTAATACAGAGCCTGGCACATTTTAGTATATGTGCTGCCTACGTGAGCACAACATTTTAAGTACACAATAAATATTAATTTTATCTACTTCTATATGTAGGTAGTAAGGCATATTTTAAAACAGAATTCTATTTCTCCTTGACATATAGAGCTATGGAAGACTGATAGGCATTTTATCACAGCTACCTCATCTTGAGTGCTTAGAAGCAGATAAGCACTGTCCAGGCTTTCCTGATGTCAGAGATTGTATTTTTCCCCTAGGTATTTCCAAGTACTTTTGTCTTGCCAAAACGGAAAAAATTGAATTAATCTAGCCAAAGAAATAAGTGATTTCAGCCAAGAGAGAAAGAGAGAGAGAGAGAGAGAGAGAGAGAGAGAGAGAGAGAGAGAGAGAAGAGAGAACATATTTGAAAAGACCATGCCTATTCAAGATCTTTAGTATTGTAAAATATACAGAACATCTAAGGAATAAAATTTCCAGTTGAGCTGGGCTTTCTATTTTTTTAAATCATCTTTAAGAAAATATTAGTTTAATATATTATTTACTTAAGCCCTGGTTTAGGAGCTAGGAGATCTGGGTTGTTAGAAGCAGCACACACTTAGAATACAAACCTATCTCTATTAATTCCTAGTTGTGTGATCTCATGCATATTTTGGTTTTGCTGCTTTGAGTTTTATTTTCCTCAACTATAAAATGCTCATAACATTTTCCAATGTTTTTTTAATGAGAGTTAAATGACACAATGTACATAATGTTCTTGGCACATAGTAGGGACACATAGAAGGGTAACTATTATTGTTTTTACTAAAGTCCATCTTTCAAACACTTCTCTGCAGATAACCTGCATCTGAACCTTCTGGAGAGTTTATTTAAAATGTAGATTCCTAAGTTCTTAAAACATCTGAATCAGAATCCTAGGATGAGGCCTAGGCATCTTCACTTTATTTAAAGGCCTCACCCATCTCCTTGTCTGAGTTTGAGATATGAAAGCTTTTCGAAGAAAAAAAGTCTGCACTTGGGTTTTTTGTTTGTTTTCTCAGTGAGTCTTGGGGGAATGGAGGTATTTTGGAAGCTGGAACTTTTCAGTCAGAGTGCTGAGGAGAGACCTTTCTATGAAGAAACTAAGGAAGCAGGGGAGTGTGTTAGCTTCGAATGCAAGGTCCAAAGAGCTCAGAAAATGTTGAGAGGGTGCAAAACAGTGCAGGTGGAGATGGAAGTGGATTTATAGCTGACCTCTATAGAAATGAAAGTTTAGGTGGGTGTAGAACCAGATGGGCTTGAGGTTTTTATGGTGACTGAGGAGGATGGAGACAGAGTCATCCTGTCTCCAAAGAGAAACTTATTACATAGTTGTTTGATGCCAGAGACAGTGCATAGTCAACATTTTATTTTCACAGTTTAAACAATTAAAAAATAGATTACTAATTGGAGATAAGATAAGGCTTCTCTAAATTGAGAAGCCTCTTCTCCCTGCAATAGTAGTTAAATTGTTACAGGAAGATTACTTTCTAGTTGTTTGGCATGAGTTGGAAAACTGCCCTATGCTTTATAACTAGAGCATCTAAAACCTTCATGTTTGGAAACATAAGGTGCTTGACATTACTTCGTTAGGCAGGTTACTTTTATATTCCCAGAAATCATATAATGTAAAGAGACACCTTTCACTGTGGCTGTAATAGCTAGAAAAAAGGCATGACAGTAAATACACTGAGTTCCCCTACTATTCATTTAATTAACTAGACACCAACACATATTTTATTTTACTATATTTAAATATTTGCAATAATACTTCCTGTTTCTAGAGTATATGTTACTGGAGAACAACCACATTAATTAACTTACAGGTCATTTGTGGGATGAACAATAGATACCACTATATACATTTTTCAAAGAGATAAATTGAATTCTAGAGCAACTAGGTTTTCAATAACAATGCCAATACAAATATGGCATTGGAGTGTGAGTAATGAAAGCAATTGTAATCTTTTCTACCAGCCTATGGGAAATATATGATGCTGTTTTTTTTTAAGGCTTCTAAATATGGTAAGGAATAGAAGGGCTTTATTCTTATGATATGTGTGCTTCGCTCTTTAATCTTTCACTTATTTTTAAAACCTCTGACATTCTATAAATCCAAGCTTGTGGGTGACTTCCTTAAAAGTGTTGTCTGGGCCCCTACAATGGAACCAACATATCAGCTTTGGATTCCACATATCTTTACAAAATGACTGTAGATGAACTACATCCTTCTAGGATACATCTTTTTCTGGATTGTGAACTTCCTCAGGACAGAGACTACATCTTTTATATCTACAGCCCCAAGGCCTACCACAGTGCCATAGCACACAATACATATTGTTGAATGAATGACCTAACTGAATAAAATGAATTACTGATTACCTTTCACTTGTCTTTTCCCATCCTCCTATTCCCTTCCTCAGGGAAACTGAAGAAAACATTTATGATTCACTTATATCTTGAATATTATTGTGAACTCCTAAGAATCTAACTGAGACAAAAATGGAAGCACTAAGAGACAGACATTTGTTTTCCAATTAAATTGATTTGAGCCAGTGGTACTTATTCAAAAGATTTTAAAAAGCTACTTTGACATTAGGAGTAGTTTCTAAACTAAATAAATATACATATTGTAGGTGTCATTTTGAAACAAAACCAGTTTCATTTCATAAAGATAAAGAAGTTTGGAATCTTAAAACAGCAAGCATATCTACTATAAAGAAAATGCAGTCTCGAGCACATAACAAGCATAAAGATTTTTTAAAACACCTTTATTGAATCATTTTTAAATGATCTCTTTTTAAAAGCTCCTTAAAAACTTCTCATTGTTCTTAGGATAAGATCCAAAATATCTAATGTGAACTACAAGCTAATTCATTGATTCTTTAAAAATATATTGTCTATTACATATTTTAGGGTCAGAAAATATGGCGGTAAATGGGTGGGGGCAAAGACTCAGTTCCCAAGGAACTTAAGTCTGGGGGTGGGCCAGTGGGAACTGACAGACTATAAACAAATACTACAATCAATGAATAACAAACAACAAAATAGACAAAATACATTCCAATGTGATGAGTGTTATGAAGAAAATAAAATGGAATGATTTTCTACAGAAAATAAGCTATTCTTTCACTTCCTCAGGCTCTATTTTCTCACCCTAGCAAAACTGTACAGGTTATTCCCACTCCCAGAGCTCCTCCCTAATCTGCCTTTCTTCCTAACCATCAGTCTTCCTTTAGCTCAGATCTCAGCTAAAAATGGCAACTTCTCTAAGTTAAATGTTCCCTTTATATATCCCTCCCATTGTATCCACATATCTCCTTTGTGAAACTGTTCATTACATTTATAAGCAATGTCTGTCTTGCCACAAGGGCAGAATCTTCTTGTTTGTGGTCTACCCATCTATTCCCAGTCACCAGCATATATTAGATGATCAATACATTTTTTTGAATAAATGAATAGAAGGAAGATTGGAAAATTCTTTTACTTTTATCCCGTTAAGGGACATTTCACCAGGAAGGGGTAAAAATCATTTGAACATCACGAATATGTAAAAAGCACATTGGTGAGAAATTCAATTAGGCTGCAAGAAAACAATGAAAATTATTCAGTGGTTTCTTCCATGGGTTCTAGGTGAATTGAATGCCAAAATTGAATAAATAGTTGCAGCTCCTTGATTATAAATGAGCATGAAAGAATATATGAAAGAGATAAGTAAGGGAAAGAAAGAAAGAAAGAAAGAAAGAAAGAAAGAAAGAAAGAAAGAAAGAAAGAAAGAAAGAAAGAAAGAAAGAGGAAGGGAGGAGGGAGAGAGGGAGGATGGAAGGAGAGAAGGGTATACTTGAATGAAACATTGAAGAAATAAGAGGATGGAGAGATGTTCTCTTTTCTTTTCAGATTCAAATAGACTTTTCTTTGAAAATGAAAATGACCTCTCTTCCCAATACCAAGTAGTGCATGCACATTGTAAAATATTCAAAACAATACAGAAAGAGGTAAAGAATGTTAAAATACCTAATAATTCCTTCACATTTTATTTGCCTGTATATTCATCTAGACCAGTGGTTCTTAACCTTGGCTGCACATTAGAACCACCTGGGAATCTTTTTAAAATCTGGATTTCTGGGCCTCATCCTCCTGAAATTCTGTTTCTGTTAGTAATGTTGTGGCCCCACCCCATAACGTAGAAACAGAATTTCCGGAGGATGAGGCCCAGAAACCAGGATTTTAAAAAGATTCCCAGGTGATTCTAATGTGCAGCCAAGGTTGAGAACCACTGTTTTAGAGAGAATGGAAGGAATGGGGAGGGACAGAGACAGAGAAAAGTCGATGTGCTAGAGAGAGACACATCTATTGGTTGCCTCCAGCATGCACCACAACCGGGGCCAGGGATTGAGCCTGCAATGAGGTACATGTCCTTGACCAGAATCCAATTTGGGACCCTTCAGTCCGAGGACTGATGCTTTATCCACAGAGCCAAACCGGCTAGGACTGATATTTCAATGATTAACATTACATACATTTTTGTCCACTTGTTTTCCTTAAAATACATTTCTGTATGTGTCTTGTTGGCCAAACAGTATGGATATGTGAGACTTTTGACACATATTGACAAATTGCCTCAAAAATAGTATATCAATTTGTAACAGCAGCAAACAAGCCATTTCATAGGCTTTTCATCAACAATATTATCGGAATTTTATTCTTTGATATTCTGAGGGGCAAAAAGAGAAATCCCATTTTAATTTTTATTTCTGATTACTAGTGACATTGAACATTTAAATTGCCTATCCATGTCCTTCTCAGATTTTTAAATTGTGGTATTTATTTCTTTAAATCAGTTTATAATAGCTCTTTAGGGACTAGTGATATTAGCCAGATATGTTTATCATATATTTAGCATTTTGTCAATTATGTTGTCTTTTAATTTTATCATAAACCAGTATTACCCCATAGCTGTCATCTGTCATGTTGAAATGTTTTTTTCAGTTTGCTATTTGTCTCTTAACTTTACTAACCTTACATTTGTCATTCAGAAGCTTTACTTTTATTTATGAAGTCATATTTAATAGTATTTTCACTTTTGGACTTTGTGTCATATTTAGAAAGTTCTATATCCTCAAGGATATACACATATTCACTTATATTTTCTTCTACTTCTTTTATGATTTTATATTTTATGTTAAGCCACGTTTGCATTAAGAATGTGTTAAGGAGTTGGTAATGTTATTACCATAAGCTCAATATCAGGCTTAATAACATTACAGGATACTGAAGAATTCCTTTTATATGTTCTAGGTAAAAGTTCTAGTATGTGATTATGCAATACAAGACAAAAACTGAGTAGAAACACAGCACTTAAATCACATTCACATACTGTCAAAAATGACAAGATCAAGCCTGCTGGAAAGCGAGTTGAGGAGGAGCTTATGAGGGAACTGCTTGAAGTAAAATACTTATATTCCAGGCTGATAAAATGGCCTTCATGCTGAGGAATAGTTCTCTCAAAAAATATTTGAGGAACTACTATGAGCTGAATGGGGATGTGACAGTGAACAACAACAACAAAAAAGAGGTTCACTGCTCTTAAGGGTTGAGGTACACAAATAATACATTTTAAGATTAAGTGCTTTAAAGAAAATTAAGCAGGTAAGGAGATGAAGAAATTGATATGTTAAATTGGGTGGTTAGGGACGTCTTCTCTGGGAAAACGACAATTGAGAAGAGGCTTGTTTTAAAAATAAACAGCTTCTAAAATTTCTAATTCTTGAACATTTTTCTGTCAATAGCATAGACTAATGGTTACGAACTTTAGACTCCCTAAATTACAGCATAGGACCAATATAGCTGGAGTGTTACTCGAAAAAAAACAAAAAAAAAAAACAGAAAATGGGAAAAGAAACACGGAAACACCCTAAAAACTTGGGTAATGTTGTTTTTCTTTAACTGTGAAACTGGGAGTTAGATTTTGTGTGACTTATTCCGGAGTTTCCTGTAGGCATTACCTCCTAAGAAGATCTTCCTTAACTGCCCTTTACAAATTCCAACGTTATCAGATTTTCCCACCCTTTTACAATCACCGCCCCTTTTCAAGTATTTCAGGGAGTTACCATCTGAGAGCCCATCTCTGACCACTCTTTTTTTGAAATTGCAATTCGTCGCACTTTCTCACCCCTTTCTCTCACTTTTATTCTCTCTCTCTCTCTCTGTCTATGAGAACTCGTATTTTGGTCTGTTTTTATTTCCGCCGTATCCCCAACATGTACAACAGTGCTTAACATACAGTTGGCGCTTAATAAATATATACATTGAATAAAAGGTAGAATGAACTAGTCTGGATTGTGTGAAGCGACCTCAAGTTAAACTAATATCACATTTTTAGCTCTCTGAAAAAACGGCTTCGAGCCATCAGAAGGTGACGTGCTTCAGTTTTCAAAATGGGAAAGCAAAGGTTCCCACAATTCTCAGAACGCGAATTTCTCGCCACAATTCAAAATGGCGGAGGAAGGTGGGGCTTGTCACACAGTGGGCGTCACAAGCAGCTTTCCTTTTCCAGACCGCAGCCCGCCTTGCCGCCCGCGTCGGCGTCGTCCGCTGTCCTCCCTCCTCCTCCCGCCAAGCCTTTTCGAGGAATCGCCTGGGATTGGCTAATAGGCTGGGGAGGGGGGGTTTGCGGCCCCAGACAAGGCATCATCACTTCCTGTTGTGGGCAGTCGTTTCCTGTCGCTGCTTGGTAACAATGGGGGAGATAATGGCTGCCTGAGCAACGTTTCCCGAGCGGGCGCTGGGCTAGAGGCGGGTCTCAACCAGCGACTCATCGGAGGCGGGCCTGAGAGCGGCGACAAGAGAGGCGCGCAGGAGCCTCGGCGGCGGCGGTGGCCTTACCGACCGACTCGGATTCCGACAACTAAAACCGAGTAAGTGAAGCTTTGGGGGTCCTCAGAGAAATGGATGGAGAGCGAGAGGAAGACAGCGGAGTTGTGGCTGCCGCTTTTTCTCGAAATGGCCTGAGTGGCCTATGGTGGAGGAGGCTCGGCGCCGCTTCCGGACCCCAGGCGCCGGTTGCTGCGGGGGGCTCCGTGGCGTAGTCGCCGCTGCCATTTTAGTTGGGTGTATAGTCGACAGCTTTCTGAAGGGGATGGTACTGGGGAAATATTTCCTTTCTGTGGCCGCGCTACCCGCAGCCGGGACCCTGCGGAGTCTTGAGAATTTGGGGGAGGCGACTTTCAAGTTTGGCCTCAGGCGTGACAATCTTTAAATCTTTTCAGGATTTTCTCTCCTTGGTTCTTTGGAGACTTCCTTCGCCTCTCTCCGCCCCTTTAACTCGGTGGGCTGGGGTTTGGGAGTAGGGGAAAAATCTGGCTTCTATAAGTCAGATGCTGGGAATCCTTGGGCCTTTAGATTTCCCAGGATTTGCAAACCCCATTTTTCAGCACTTATGCAGGGCACTATCAATTAGGCGCCCCCTGGGGCCATGATGACATCTTCCCTGAGAATCTGAGGCAAATGTGGTTTACTCCCTCGCTCGAATAACCCTGGAATATCCTTTGCCAGATATCACTGTAAGGATACCCACTCTCCCCCCTCTCCCCCCCCAAAAAAAGGAGGGAAAAGCAATTTCGTGTTGTTTTTCCCTTGTAAAGAGAGGAATTTGGCCGGATGATTTTCAAGTTAATTTCCGTTCAATCAGCCAACCCCCGCCCCCTAAAAAAAAGCCTAAGGGTCTTGGCTTCTACGGGCGGTACCTGCCACGTACGCCATAGCTTTAGTAACTAGTATTAACCGGTTGGGCTTCTGCTTCCTGAACACTCAGTCCCTTTTTCCCTTATGCTGATTAATTTCAAGATGGAGGAGACAGCCACGTTCCTTCCCTAGACAGTTTCACCATACTTATTCCACAGGTTAGTCCTGGAATCTGAGGCCTAGCAGGTTTGTTAAATAGGTCATTCTTTAGTTTTGGGGAAAAGGGAAGCATTTAATATCAGGTTGTCATCCACCTTTTGCCCCAAAATAATTTTTTGCTGGAAATAAGGAGCCTGCACGTCCTGAATGAGAATTAACCACAATATCTTTGGGTGATTGAAGGAAGGAAGAAATAAACGTACTACTTACTAATCATTTCTTTCATTCTTCATGATTAAAGACAAAATAACTACTCATGTCATCCCATCAGGTACATTATGTTCATCCAGGATTACTTGAGAACAGGCAGGCACAATTTTAGTTCCTCCCCGCCCCCCCCCCCCCCCAAAAAAACCACCCCGTTTTTCTAAATTGTAAAAATAAAGTGCCCAGGAAGACCAATCTAAATACTTTTTAAAATATGATTTTAGGACCCACTTTTCTTACTGAAAATGTTTCATCCTGATGTTCTTTCATACTTTTTTTAGCTTCTGCCTTCGGCCTAGGCCACTGCTAGGACTACTTTACAGAGGTAACTGTAAAGTGCCCAATAAGTCCTCAAAAGTATCAAAATATGAAAATAATTACTGATCTGATAAATGATAAAGTAAGGCATATTTTAAGCAAGCTTATATTAAACGGTAGATTCGAAATCTTATATCTAGCATATGAGATTCCTGGTTCCTTCTAACCTCAGTCTCCCCAAATATCTTAATACTAATATTGAATTAGATTTGGTAGTTGTGTGTTTGTGTGTGTGTGTTGTGTGTGTGAGAGAGACTACAATATATAGGATGTGTATTTTTTAAAATGTGTCTATTTCAAAGAACATATAAAAGAGGAAGAATAATGGATTCTTTTTTTTTCTAGAGCAGAGTATGAAGAAAACTAAAATCCAGTTTATTGTATTACAATACTATGTCATAACAGTCAGGTAATTTATTTTTTTGTTGCGTCTCCTGATGATTTATGTATAGAATGCATGTTTTAAAATATTCTGTTTTGCAGACCCTGTAATTGGATGGGCTTATTTGATACATGTTAGTTGGTGTTGGGCATACTTCATGATGAGAATGGATGTTTTATACTGGTAATTCAAAGGGTAGTGTTTCTAAGTAGCTGGAACTCATTAGTGCTTTATCTGTGAATTTTCCTGTTTTAAAATAATGTCTGAAGTTTACCAGTACTTATGTAGAACAGAATGAACAAGATGGGTATAAATAAATACTGTTTGTATCTTCATTGAATAGCTAAATAAAATATCAGTAGACTTTGTTACAGGAACATGATCCTACATTATTTTGTGTTCTATTTTTTCTCTTTCAAGATTCAAAAAGTAATTGGTATATGTTACTTTAATTGGTATTAACTCTTTTAATCATCATTGTTAAAGTAACCACATAATTTATTGCCCTAGCTAGGTTTCTTTTAAGAGCAAAAGGGACATTATTATGTTTGGACAACAGGCACAAACAAGATTGTCCCAAGCAAACTGGGATGGGTAGTTAGCCTAAATTCATAACTAACTTGTATTGAGTGCTTATGTGCTAGATCTTGTGCTATTACATGAATGATTTTATAATCATCACAGCAAAACTTCATGAGGATGTTATCTATTTTACTGAGGTAACTGAGACTCCAGGAAGAGGTTATTAAGTAATTTGTCCTCAATTAAATAGCTAATAAGTAGCAGAGCCCCCATTTTAACCCAGGTCTGTCTAATACCTGAAGTCACTAAACTTTTTTGCCTCTAGACTTAATTGCTCTGTTTAGATCAGAAATGCAAAGAAATGAAGGTTGTAATAAAAAATCTATAGGTTATATTGCATCAAAAACTTAGAGAATCTGCTTTATGAAGCAGGTGAGACTTATTTAACAATTACCCCCCCCCTCCTTTGTTTTCCCATCTCAGCTATTACTGTATAATTTGATCATTTAAAATCAGCAATGGTTTTATGAATGGCTTAATTATGAAATGACATCTGCAAATATTAGGCTGGTTGGATATATTCTTTCAGGTTAGTGAATATGTAGTATTAAGTAACACAGTAGGTCAAAGATGCATCTGCATTCATGGAAGTATAATGTGTATATTACTTTTTCCACAGCCCTAGTGGATTGGGAAACAGCAAATCATGGACCAGCCTCCTTAATTTACAAATTACAATATGAAACCAATTACAATGTGAAAACTCCTGGCAAGCCCAGATCAATGAGGTGCTAGAATTTTGGGCTATAGCCTTGGGCTGGGATGTGTTTTTCTTTCGTTTGTCTAATTCCTTAACATTTCTGTGTAACACAAAAGATTTAAAAAGTAGGCAGTTTACTTAATCCCTTGAGGTTTTGATAACCAATATAAGAAAGCAGTAGTACTTCTGTATCTATTTTTCTAAACCTTGAATATGGAAGTTTCCCAGAAAGTCAAGCAGTTCATATTACCTTTTATCAAAAGAAATATCTATTAGATTTAAAAAAATCTTGGCAATTTTGAACGATTTGGGAATATACTTATGAACTTGTGGTTTTGTTTCTGGAATACATATAGTCAATATTTTAATGTCAATTTTCTTGTATTTTAGTGCTCCAACCCAAGATTTTAATTTCTTTAGTCATAATAGCACCTATATATGTTGAGACAAATAGCTATAGACAGTGTGTGGTATGTATATAGATTCGTGGACCTCTTCCAATAATTTCATGACTATAAGTTGGGCTTCTGTTAAAACATTTGCATGGTGATGAACTTACTGTGTGTGTGGGGGATATTGTGTTCAATAATCTTTTCTGGAATGAACAGTCTCTTTCCTTTTGCTCTCCACTTGCCTACAGGAAGGAGTTAACTCTTAATTACAATTTTCATTTTTTATTCACTAAAGTTACCGGCAGTTACATCTAAGTAGCCATATAATTTATTCAAACTGGGTCACTTTTGAGAACGAAAGAGGACCAGGTTCCTATTAAGTACTATAGGACAACAGCTATAGACTGCTACTGTACAAACTGGGGATATATAGTCACCTTTGTCATCATTTCTATTTAGAAACACAGGTTCAGGAAGCACAGTTGTCAGCATGTTTGGTTCTGTAACACAAAATTGATTTCTTCAAATAATATGTCATTTATGTAGATAATTTTTTTTAGTCAAGTGATTTTAATGTATTTTTATTTATCCTCACCCGAGAATATGTTTTTAATTGATTTTTTTTTTTTTAGAGAGAGAGAAACATCAGTTGGTTGCCTTCCATAACCCTGACTCTGGGGATCGAACCCGCAACCTAGTTGTGTGCCCTGACTGGGAATCAAACCTGAAACCTTTTGGTGTACAGGAAGAGGCTCCCTAACCAATTGAGCCACCCGGCCAGGGCTGGTCAAGTGATTTTAATTTTAAAAATTGGCTTCAGCCCTAGCCAGTTTGGCTCAGTGGATAGAGCGTTGGCCTGTGGACTGAAAGGTCCCGGGTTCGATTCCGGTCAAGGGCATGTACCTTGGTTGCGGGCACATCCCCAGTAGGAGGTGTGCAGGAGGCAGCTGATAGATGTTTCTCTCTCATCGATGTTTCTAGCTCTCTGTCCCTCTCCCTTCCTCTCTGTAAAAAAATCAGTAAAATATATTTTAAAAAAATTGGCTTCACTCTTATTTATTTATTTAATATTTTTTATTGACTTCAGAGAGGAAGGGAGAAGAAGATAGAAACAGCAATGATGAGAGAGAATCATTGATCAGCTGCCTCCTGCACACCCCCTACTGGGGACCGCAACCTGGGCATGTGCCCTCGACTGGAATCGAACCCGGGACCCTTCAGTCCGAAGGCTGATGCTCTATCCACTGAGCAAAACTAGCTAGGGCTTAAAGTTAATTTTTTTTAAAAAATATATTTTATTGATTTTTTTACAGAGAGGACGGGAGAGGGATAGAGAGTTAGAAACATCGATGAGAGAGAAACATCGATCAGCTGCCTCCTGCACATCCCCCACCGGGGATGTGCCCGCAACCCAGGTACATGCCCTTGACCGGAATCGAACCTGGGACCGCAGGCCGACGCTCTATCCACTGAGCCAAACCGGTTTCGGCATTAAAGTTAGTTTTTGATGGAAAACTCATGTTCTTAAAAATAGTACTTTTATTTATCAGTTATCACCTAAATTGCTAGTAATCAGTAATTTTACATTAGTAACTTTTTTATAAATACATGAACCTTCTGGGCTTTGAGTAATTTTTTTTACTTTTTGGAAATAACGAAAAGCAAGTCAGAATGGTTTGTGTGGATAAGACCAAATTCTAATGTAGTGAGGCAGCTCAGTGACATGGGTAATAGAAGATGAAATTCCGTCTCAAGTACTGGAGTGAATTGAAATGTCATCATAATGGCTTCTTTTGAAAACTAACTTGCTCCTATGAATTGGCAGCATTTGGCTTGATCTCTGTCTTTGATTTGTTGACTTTCTTTTGATCTTATGTTTTAGAGCAGTGATGGCGAACCTCTGACACGCGAACTCATTTTTTTGGTTGATTTTTCTTTGTTAAATGGCATTTAAATATATAAAATAAATATCAAAAATATAAGTCTTTGTTTTACTATGGTTGCAAATATCAAAAAATTTCTATATGTGACACGGCACCAGAATTAAGTTAGGGTTTTTCAAAATGCTGACACGCTGAGCTCAAAAGGTTCGCCATCACTGTTTTAGAGGGTTGTAGTAGGCAAAATTGTGAGCTGCAAGTCAGTAGACATGCAAAGAGATTAGACATATGAAGGACATTTCTGAATCCTTTTGTGTATTTTTGTTGTCCTTTTCAAGTGGTAGAAATAGAATATAAGTGAGGCTAAGCTAATATTGCCATACAAATAATATTTTATA